AATTGGCCTCCACACGCATCAAATCTATCCAAAATCAGAACGAATACGTCACAATATGCTAAGGTAACAAAGCCCAAGCGAAAACATTCGAAAAATATCAAAAATCTCGAAATTAGCAAAATCCGAGCCCCGGGCCCACGTCTCGGAATCGGGTAAAATTTACATTTTCAGAATCCTCATACCCTCACGAGTCTAACCATACCAAAATTATCCAATTCCGATACCATTTGGTCCTTCAAATCATCATTTTATATTTTTGAAAGGTTTCACAATTTTCTTCCCAAATTCCATCTCAAATCACGAATTAAATGATGAATTCAGTGATAAATTCATGTATTCTAGCTAAATCTGAGTTAAAATCACTTACCCTGATGAATTTCTTGAAAAACCTTCGAAAAATCACAAATATCTGAGCTCTCTAGGTCAAAATATTAAATAAAACCCAAAACCTCGTATTTATAGGTACCCCTCAGGTTTCAGCTCACGCGGGCTGCACAAAAACTCACGCGGTCCGCACAAAGGTAACGCGCGGCTGCACAGGCCTCCCTCTGCAGTGATAGGCTTAGTATTTTGGCCATACCTTTTGCTACAGATGTCCAAATTACGATATCTTTCCCTTTCTGGAAAATAGATACGAAAGGCTACAACTTTGTTTTTTAAATCACCTCAAAATTCCTTGTATATTAAAAGATATGAGCTTACGAAGTAGGACTAGAGGATCGTTCCCCACCGCGGCCTCACACCACTTTGTGCGGTCCGCATGACACCTACCGCGGCCGCACACCACTTTGTGCGGTCTGCACAACACTCAACGCGGGCGCACCTATTTTTGTGCGGACCGCATGGGTAAGTTCTGGTAGGGCTGTGCACGGATCAGATTGGATCGGATTTAGCATATTTCGGATTCGGATTTCGGATTCTGAAAAGGGCAATCCGAATTTGATCCGAATTAACATTGGATTGGATCAGATTTTAAACTTTGGATCGGATAATTTTTCGGATTGTCGGATCGGATTGTCACAAAATATTTCATCAATTTAAAGTTCATTCGGTGTCTCTATCTCATCTTCCATCTACCAAAACAAACAAAAAAATCAAAATAAAATCAAAAGTTGAAGAATAGAACATGAAATAGACATAAAAGACAGAAGAGAAGAGAAGAGAGGCAGAAGAAAGAGACATAAAATCAAAGTAAAATCGGAAGTTTGAGTCATTGAGACTCTATTAGTCTTCACTGAAGAGAAGAGAGGTGCAAGAGAGACGGAAAAATCTAAGTGAGTGAGGGGGTGTGTGAAAAATGAATAAGCATAACCCTAAAATTTTAGTGTGTATTTATATAGGTACATATAATTTCGGATATCGGATCGGATTAAAATCATACCAATCCGAATCCAATCCGAAAATCCGAAATTTCAAAAAACACAATCCGTATCCAATCCGAAAATCCGAAAATCCGAAATAGAGTGGATCGGATCGGATTTCGGATATCCGATCCAAATGCACAACCTTAAGTTCTGGGGCCTGCAACCCCTGTAGGCCTGCTACAACTATGATTTTTGCACTAAAACAACCTGGAACCTACTCTGAACTCCCGGAACTTCAAACCAATTGTACCAACACATCTCATGACATCGTTCAAACTTGCTCAAAACTTCGGAACGCTCACAACAACATCAAATAACCAATTTAACAAAGGATCCAGGCCTAAGAACTCCAAGAACTCTTAAATTATGCTTTCGATCAAAAGGTCTATCAAATCTCGTCCGAATGACCTGAAATTTTGCACACACATCCCAAATGACACAATGAAGCTACTGCAACTCTCGAAATTCCATTCCGACCCCTATATCAAAATCTCGCCTATCAACCGGAATTTGCCAAAATATCAATTTCGCCAATTCAAGCCTAAATCTTCTCTACAACTCCAAAACCCATTCCGATCGCGCTCCTAAGTCACAAATCACCTCCCGAAGCTAACCGAACCATCAGAACTCACTTCCGAGCCTTCTAACATAGAAGTCAACATTCGGTTAACTTTTCCAACTTAAGCCTTCTTAAATGAGACTAAGTGTCTCATTTCTTACCAAATCCTCTCTGAACTCGAACTAATAAACTCGATCACATAAAACATGGATAACGAAGCGTAAAGAAGCTGAAATGGGGGAAATGGAGTGGTAACTCATGAGACGACTGGCCGTGTCGTCACATCCTCCCCAACTTAAACAAATGTTCGTCCTCAAACGATTCAAGAAACATACCCGAAGCCTCAAATAGATGAGGATATATGCTCTGTATCTCCCGCTCGGTCTCCCAGGTAGCCTCCTCCATGGGTCGACCTCTCCACTGCACCTTCACTGAAGCTATATCCTTTGACCTCAACTTTCG